AAAAAAAGGCCTCCTGGTAAGGGATATCATAAACAGGAATGAACTCCCTAAGGAGTCATAAAACCTTCTGCAGAAAGTGAGTCTCATTTTCATGTAGGAGATTAGCCTAGTTCCCAGGTAGCCAGGAGATGGACTGTGGAAGGTAACACTGAGAGTGGGGCGTGCTGATGCCAGAGGGTGCTAATTAAGCAAAACCCAGTGGCTCTGCCTCTGGTGTAGGGACTCAAGGGGACTCGCCACCATAGCAAGAGAGGTGACTCCCTGTAGGCAGCAACACCACGTATTACCCACAGCAGGCATGTCTCTGCCAGGTGCTTCTAAGATAGAAGCATCCTCCTAAGTGCAACTTATACTATTTCATTTTGTGATTACCATCATGACTATCATTTTTAAATCTTAAAAACCTCTCCTCCTGGATAACAAAGACAGACATTCACTTAGTCTGTCTCTCTGAAAGCAGCTGTAACATGTGGGCAGAAGGTATGCTACACCTATTGGAAGACTGAAAGTAAATGGTCGTAGGTGTACTGGGATATTAAACCAGAAGTCTAAGTTATCTCTGAAGCAGAAGTACATTTAATCATCATTTTTTCAATCTAGTATTCTACCACACAAAAATAAATAAATAAATAGATAGATAGATAGATGAATAAGTCTTGACATTCTGAGGTTTTCTTATTTTTGTTAAATAATAAATGGGGGCTGCGTAATCTAGGTTACTACTCTCAGAATGGGGGCAGGAGAACAAGTAGTAGAACGAAAACTAAGAGAAACCTTGTGTTTTTTGCTAACTTCTTTGTTATTGAAGTTAATCAAATAATATTTAGATAATCACAGTCAATTTTTTCTACCCTAAAAGGCTTTACAATTGTCTTTCTTATGCTGGGATTCTCAATCCACTCTGAAATGTGTAAAGCAGTCTAGCTGAAAACACCAAGACAATTTCCCTTCCCTTCAGCCATCACAAGGGAGATCATCTGTGCTAGATGCTATAGCAAGGTCTTAGTTTTTATTCTTGCTCCTCCTCATTTTGTTCAATCAGTACTTATGGAAACAGAGGTCCCTCACCAAAGTACTTAAACAAACCAAAAGAGAAGTCAAGCTTAGGTGTGAAACTTCTGGCTATTTTCCTTTCCTTGCTTTTTCTCCTTACCCAACAGAATGAGTGCTATCTGATCTAAATGCTTATTAAAAGCAACAGACATAAAGAGGTCAAGATATTAAATAAACCAGGTCAAAACAACTTTATTTTATTCTTCTTGGGTTAAAGTGTATAAATGGTAATAGGCTAGCACAACTGCATAAACAATGTTCCTTGATTTATATTAGTTAAAAAGGACATTCTATTAGTCATTCTGCAACAAATCACAGTTTCTAAGCTAATAATAGATTACAGTGTTATTTCAGAGCATTTCCCAAAATAACTAGAACTTTAGAAGGTTGAAAAACCTTCTACTTCTTCTAATCATAATTATTTTTATCTTCTAATCACAATTATTTTCAATAAATTGATACATCATCTTCAAATTATATTTTACCTATTCTTCTCTACTCTGCTTTTATCACATAAAATAGAATAGTAGAAGACTGCTGTGCAATATATTAAAACCCTAGGATTCCATCCTATACAACAGTAAAAGTAGATTTATAAATTCAAGGTTCATATTATATTCTGGAATATACCTCAGAACACAGGCCAAACACACCACTCCTATCACAAAGATTTAGTTACTGAATAAAAAAATTAGACAACAATTACATTAGGTGATAAACAGAATGTGTATGTTTAACCTGAGGAAGCAACAGAACTACAAAGGAAACATCTCAAAACACTCTTAGCAGGATTGTAAGATATGTGCAAACATCACTCAGTAAAGACACTACATGTTAAAGAAACGAGACTTGTCATCTAGTGAAGAGAGTGAAGTTCTACACTAAAAGGAGATGGAAAAATCTGAGAATGCAGAGTGGAATCACAAGTTAATTTTTAGTTTGTTTCAAAACTAAACTTGAAAAATGAAACTGTTACATTTTTAATCTACTTATTGTTAAGATTGTAGGGCAGTTTTAGTTATTAAGAAACTAACTGTATAGACTTAACAATATTGGGCTCAGCATTCTAGAACATACTCTCTAAGAGGTTATGTAACTTTAGAAGTGGGTGTGGGAAGAATACAATCAATCACACTTTATGAAGTAAATTACTACATCTAGGATAAACCTAATCAAGTAAGTATGCTCCTAAATGTTAAAACGTTAAGAAAATAAAGCACTGCCTTCTATGTAAATTAAGACACAACAGTACATATGTAACTATAGCAGAGCATGGTATTTCCCAAAGAAAAGACTCTTCTAACTTTTAATGACAAAAATCAATAAAATGAAAGTTGTTTTTTGGTCCTCTAGCCAAGTATTCTTTATCCAAAGAATGCATTTGTTTTCTCACATTTATAAGTCTTAAAACTTGAGAAAATAGGTCAAAGCGGCAATTTAAAGTCCCTTTAACATAAACAGAAAATGATACTGCCTGATAGTAACAGAAAGTAGAAACAAACAATCCTAAATCAGTTCTTCAAAAGTCTGCTTTAAAGTGCCTGGTTTCTCTCTTTATCTATTAAAATGAATCTCAAAAATCTGTCTTCTGACTATTCTTACACAACTCAGTGTGTAGTATTTCCTATTTACTTAACGATTCCTCCCTTTGTCAAGTTTTCTTCATTTGCTTGTCCCTGAAATGCTCGGGTCTCCTAGGGTTCATCTCTTCTAATCTTTGTACCTTTAATCAGACTAATTGGCACGCACCATTGCAGCTATCAACTATGGTCCCCTCAGAACTGTGCCTTCTTTCTCTTAAGCATTAAATTCATCTACACATGTGCCTACTGAGTTTCTCCAACCAAGAGGTTCCACAAGTATTTTAAGCTTAACCGAGCAACAACAGCACTCACATTTCTTCTCAAACCTGTGTTATTCGTTCCTTTCTTTCTTTTTAAAATCTTGAATGCAGAGACCCAGTCTGTCAAGTTAAACACCTCAATCTTCAAGTACAAACAAATACCAAATCTTCTCAATCTAACTTCCACATTTCAGTAAGAATTAACTGTCCTAAAACTTAAATATGCTGTCATTTGTTTGCTTCATATATAATATGTTCTATATGTACGTATAGCATACAACATATATTGTATAAAATATACATATATTGTGCATGTTGTATATGTATCTATAACATATACACAAATATATATACTCGTGCATGTGCGTGTGCATGCGTGCGTGCGCGTGTGTGTGTGTGTGTGTGTAAAAGCCAAAAGATAGACTACAGAAAGTCACCTTCTTATTATGGTGTACAAAGTCAACTTACCTTTCTGTGTCTAGACTTCCTCACTTGTGCACACCCAACAGCCACACTTGTACTCTACAATAGGCATTACTTGTACTTCCTATATAAACCTTTCACACATTCAATAAAATAAATTTGACAAGTACATAGCAGGTAATATTTTAAGCACGGAGAATATGCTGTAAACAAAACAAAGTTTCTGCCCTCCTGGGGCTTATATCCTAGTGGAAAATACAGACACAAACATTTAATAGGTGAGGCAGTTGTAAGTGCTTCAGAAAAATGGATTTAGCTAGAAAAGCAACTCAGCAACACAACAAGCAGCATGTTACAAAAAAAAAAAACCAGAAATCCAGCAAGTCTTTGAAAGTACAATCATAACTTCTACATCCCTTTATATATTTACATCTTAACTTAAATGACAGCTTAAAGGCACAACACCATGAGTGATACCAAACTGTACAATCACTGAGAGGCATAACAGAACACAGGATACTTCTGGAACAACCAATTATAATAATTTAATTTCTGAAATTAAAGTTGATGGAGTCAAGAGTGTCTTTTCTTGAATCTAGTGTTTTAGTTGGCTCCTGGGATCCACCCAACAAAAGCATTATTAGTACTGGCACATTTCAAATTATGTCATGAGGTTAGAATCTATAAAACTTAAGTATACAGCTAGAAATTAGTCTCATTGTTATTTCATTGTCTCTAGCTAACTACACCATGGTTTCAAACTTAGGGCCTACACATTAAGATAGCAATGCCGTTCTAGAACACTGAGACAGGAGCTTTTTACTGGTGGTTTAAAAGACTTGTTCAATTGTCTGAATCATTTATGTGTACACCTCTCACTGGTTTAAAAAGCTGAAACTAGACAAACCTACATCAGAACACTGTTTAAGGTATAGGATTTTACTAAAGGACTTGAAAATGAGCCAAAGAAAACTTCACAGGCATTATTTGGCTGTTCATACTCTGAGAATTACAATGATTTATCTTATCATCTAAATAATAACACATACTTTAAAGTTCTTTAAGGGAATTCACATATTCCTCCAGGATTTTCATTAGTATTATTTTATACATCACTATACATCATTAGTCTCAGGACATGAGTGAAGGAATGAATGAATGCTGGTATTTAAGTATTTGTATAAATCTGCAAAGAAAACTAAAGGGTATTTTTAGGTATAAAAGCTTATTCTGAAAAATCAACTTCCAAATAACTAAACAGAAATTTAGCTGTCTACCTTAGTGACAACTTTCCCAAGCAGAATTCCGTCAAAGTTTTTAAGGTTTGGGAAACAATGATACACTTCACCACTTTCTCAGAATAACTTTTCAATTCTGCCCACGATTCCCCAATCCTCACAAAAACGCACATGTGCCCCATAAAACAACCAGTGTCTGCTCTCCTCATATTGGTAGGCAGAGGGGAAACATTCCAGGCCCAGCTGAAATTCTATCATGTCCGAAATAGTGTGACTGGGCGGAGAACAGCTAGCATAGTCCATCTGTGGCATGCTAACAGTTCCTGTGCTGGAGAGCAAAGGAGCTACCACTACAGTGTATAGGCCAGGGCTAATATGTATTATAAAACCCAACTAAAAGATGGCTAGGAGGCTAACTGCACGGGGAGGAGGTGAACACATACCGCATCTGTGATGTCTATTTCATACACCCGCTGGAACGTCCTGCGCTCAAAGAAAACAAGCTTGCCGCTGCCACATCCCCTCTGGACAGATGTCCCGGTGACTATGAGTTTATCATCCGGACTGAAGCAGCAGTCAGTCCTACGGACAGGAAGAATTTATAGGTTATAGGTCTGAGCTACAGTCCCATGATGGTGCAACAGTAATGGGTCTCATACAATACAACGTCATTATCATAAGAGGTAACTCTTACATACAGCTTCCAGTAAGTCAAACACTTATATTGATTCTTTAATTTTTAATATTATTGCTCCTATTTGACTGACCAGGAGGCTGAGGCAGATAGAGAGGTTACATAAATCTTGTCCAAGATCACAAAGGTAAATGGTGCCACTGGCTTCAAACATAGGCAGTCTCATTCCAGAAACTGTGCATTGAACTTCCACACATTCTGTTAAATGTAAAGAGAGTGTGGGGGAAACTCAAAATAGACACTGATAGTGTCTACGAACAAGAAGACATTACATGATTAATAAATACCTAAGTAGTTATTATTCTGGCCAGTTTGGAACTACCTTTTTCTACCACCACTACCACTATCCCCAAATAAACTGAGTAGTGTCAAGCCAAGCACCATGAAATGAGCAGGCTGCACTGTTGGCACCTACTTGGTGGCTATGGCTCAACTGCCCTTTTACTAGATGTATGTGAATGATCCCAAGAAGCTTTAGAGAGAACATTTCCTGTAGCAACTCTAGCTCAAACAATTCTCTTTAACTATAAAGCCATAATGGTTTGTCCATTTATTTATTTATTTTAAGATTTACTTATGTACGCATACAGAACTCAGGTACAGGCTAGAGGTGCAGGGGGAGGTGAGAGGCTTCACCAGAGACAGAGTGGGGAGCAGAACAGGCCGATTAATGAAGTACACTGCTGAGGGGAGCAACAGGCGTGTCAGGAGAGGTCTGCCACACCATGGGTGTCACCTCCAGGGCAGGGATCGAACTTGCCCTGAAGCTGCTGCAGCCAGCTTGCAATGCTGCATCCTAACCTGGTGCACCACCAGAGAGCCCCATTTATGTAATATTAAAAGAGCAATTCAATCCCTTAAAATATGTTCATTATCTCATGACATACAATGTGTGCAAACACACCAAATTTGCATCTATATCACACACACCCAAACACAAGTCATTTTGGCCTCAAAACATCTTTTAATAATCTGAAGAACGTGCAAAATGAAAAAAAATGTATTTTTCACAAAACATTTCATTCACTCTTCAAGTCCCTTTCCTAGAAGATCTAAAATATTAACGTTAAGTGAAGAAATTTATTTTCCATTTTCTATGCATATCAAATATCAAAAACCTGTTACTTACATTGGGAACAAGGTGGGAAGACCAGAGGCTGAAAAAAGTGGCTTATTAAACTGTCGGATGTCCCATAATTTTAATGTATCATCACCTGATAGGAAAATGGAAAAGAAAAAAAAAAGGACATGAATTGTACGAAAGGTAGTTTCAAGTTTAAAGTTTGCTAAATAGTGTAAGGGTAGAGGGAGGAGAGTTGGGGGAAGCAGGTGCATATACCATGTTTTACTTTCTTAACTATTCAGGGACCTTGAAGGTAGCAGTTGCAAGAACAGAAAACTATGAGAATGAATCAGTCTTCCAGAAACTACTTTCTAGATTGATGTAGCATCTGTAGGCTAGAAAGAGCCCTGGAGAATCTCCTTTAACAAGTGATTTTAGAGCAGATGGTAAATTCCCTGTAGTATCTTTAAGCATAAACTGACTTCTTCAGAAGATATTAATTTAACAACTGCCAGGACTGAAAATAGTTCAATTCACAATGGATCCTTATTCTCACTAGTATGTCAATGAAGTTATCCATTACCATTAATGAGCATGAGTCATGTAACTCCCTTCCCTCCAATGTAACTCTACCTGTGGCTATCATTCTTCACTTTGCTGGGGAATACAGCTTTTTCAAGTGATTTAAACTATAATGAATATTCTTTTAAGAATCATTTATTAAAAATATTTCCATAGGGCTACTAACTAATTCCTGATCATAATGAAAGTCAAAATCCACAAAAGTAACATCTTTGCTGCTCTTTCTACCCATGCCTGCAGCTGAGAACTGCCTCCAACCCGAGGGTCTAATAAGGAATCGGTATCAGGTACACGTGAAATGGGTGGAGAGTTCAATAAAAATCCCTATTCTCTCCCCCAGCTACCCGTCTTCTGAAATGCAACTTTGGCAGGTGCAGTCACCCACAAATAGCTGGACTGGAGACCCGCTTATCCTGAGAGAACTTTGTAAGATTTACCTTTTTGCTTTAGTTTTAAAAAGGGTTATATTTCCTCACAGTTCTCAAAAAATAAAGACATTAGTCTGCATCAAACAAGTTTAGCCAACCCGGCAGATTCCAGAGCCCACAGAGCACCTTACAAACACCCCCTTGGGGACTCGGGTGAATATACTTCCGTCTCCTATAGTCCATCCAGATAGAAAAATGACTGAACAAAGTATGGTTGTTGTGTTGCCCAATTAAATTACCCAATAACTAGTCTAGAATGAAAGGAGAAAGTAAGAATTACCATCAAAATGGCTTTAACTGAAGCGGACAGTCCTGTGATTTTAGGAATTATCAGCTGAGGGGTGGCTGGCCTATCTATGTTAGAATCCTCTGGGGAGAATTTTCAAATGTCCTTTTGCCCCCTCCTCTCTCCCCATTCTGCCTCAGATATATTGGTCCTTCACTCCCAGGCACGGGAAGGAATATTGGAATTCTAAGTGGAATGTTTTATCACTTGAAAAAACCTTCCCAAGGGATTCACTCTTGGAGTAGGAACCAATGTTTCTTAGTAAAGAACACATGGTCCTAATGAAGAGTCATTTTAGGATTCAAGTTGTGTGTTAGAATTGAGGAACCAAAATATTCACTTAGTACATACATCCACCTTTGCCTTGTATACAATCTAGTGTTGCTAGATTCATTTGGTCTACACAGGAAAGACTTAGCTCCTGTATGTGATATTTAAGGTTATCTTAACATGGCTCTAACCTACTTCCCCTGTTTGTTCTTTTCTCTCCCCACAAATGGACCTACTAGAAGACAGTCATGGCCCATACTTTCCCATAATGTTTTGCTCATAGCTGCCCTCACTATTCTCATTTCCTTCTATTAGACATAGTTCATCCACAAGAGAAAGATTCAGCAAAAAAAATAGGAACAATCTATATTTAACCATGGTATGCAAACTTACATATGACCATAGAGAATTCTGCAGTCTTACAAAACATAATGAGATTTACTAAGACCAGAATATTCGTTTTACCTAGTAACATTTATTTACATGTTTAATATGTGTTAATTAACACTGTATGTGGTACGGCTCGTCACCACTCTACACTCACCACCAAGGCTGAGTGTGACATTTATTAGAGACCATTTTATTTACAGAAGCACATCAGTTTTTGACTTACCTCCACGAGAGGCAAGCACACTACCATCATAGGAGAAAGTTACACAAGAAGTGTCAGTGCCCGGATCATGAGCCTGTTTGTAGTGGAATTTAGGATGAACCTGTTTACAAATGGAAGCAAAATATCAACATCTAAATTCAGATAAGAACACTTCACATTATCATTAAGAAAATGACATGCAGCTATTAAGTATTAATTTCACCTGATTTTTTTTTCTGAAAAAAAATTCAAGAGATTTTTAAAAACATTCATTTGCTTTAATAAGCAGAAAGGTGATAAAGTAGCAAACACTCATCAGACTGCCTTGGTAAGCACTGACCAGCACAAGCTGACCACATCACAGAGTTGCTCTTATTATATGTCTAGACTTGCTGAGACCATTTCCTATAGCTATATGAAAGAGTAAATAAATGAACTTATTAGTTTATTATAAAATGTTATCATATTCCTCATCATGCAGATGATTGTAGGTCTTTAATGCTATTGTTGATAACAGTCAGTCCTATATAGTACTTCTATATTTAAGACACCGCATCCTTTACTAACTTGCTTATTTAATTCTATCATTGTACACATTGGGTTCTAATGTGGGTTCTTTGTTCTTTTTTTTTTTTTAAGATTTATTTATTTATGCATACAAGAGATGGGGTATAGGCCAGAGGTGTGGAGGTGAGAGGATTCACCAGAGACAGAGTGGGAAGCAGAACAGGCAGATCTACTGAAACACACTGTTGAGGGGAGCAGCAGACGAGACAGGAGAGGTCTGCTGTGCCCTGTGTGTCAGCTCCCTGACCTGAGACCTAACTCATGCCGCAGTGGCAATAGATAGCTTCATAGTGCTGAGCTGCTAGTAAGTGGTAAAGCTGTATGGGAGTTTCTAGTAATTTCAGATATTGGGCAACTATCATCACAATCAATTTTAGAACATTCCCATCACTCCCCAAAAAAACTCCAAACATATTAACTACAAATCACACTACAGTCACCTCTGACTGCTGAGCCAAAGCACTAGCATAGTTTCTGTATACTTGCCTATCCAAATGTTTCGTATAAAAGAGAAAATGCAGTATGTTATATCTTTGTGACTAGCTTCTTTCACTTAGCACGTTGTTGGGGTTCCTCTGTGTGTAGGTTATATCTTTACTTCACTTATTTTTATTGCCAAACAAAACACTCCATGACATGAATATGTCACTAGCTGATGCCTGCTTAACACCCCTGTCTTTCCTCTCATTCATGAGCATGATGCTCTCTGCCTCTTTCCAGACTTCCCGGCTCCCTGCCCAGTTCTACTTACATTCCTTTCCCCTGTAAATTTCGCCATGTTTAATCCTGTCGTGGTAGCTGCTTCCCAGAAGACCCAAACTAACAAGTGGAAGCAGTGATGAGACAACAAAGGTGGAAAGATAAAAATCTGGAACTGCCTTACTCACTGACTGGTAGGTAAACAGGATGTCGTCCTAAGTGGAATATGGGGTACAGATACACCCTAGTACTTGGTAGTGATCCAAATGCTGGAGGTGACCTGAGAAAATGTCCTGATGCAAGGAAATGTCCCTGTAAGTGTGGTGTTTCAGGCATTTAAAGGATGTGGGAGGAACAATGCCTACAAGGACAATGGTGGCAGCTGGTCTGCTATGTCATCATGATACCCAGCAGAGGGGTAATTAGACACTATGACCCAAACAGTTAAAGGCTGTGGAAGAGCTGGAGGGCCAGAACAGTAGCCTTCAAAAAGGCCTCATCTCCTGCAGTGGAAGAACAGGTACAGCTGAGTAACAAAAAGTGATCTGCACGGTTAACTCACAGAGCTCCAGAGACATTTAAATATTCGGCCAAGGTGGGTCTTTTATTTTAAAGTCAAGGCTCTATTAGGAAAAATTTGAAACAATAAGCCAGGATATTGGATAGATGCCCACAGGATTCTGGGTCTTCAGACTCCTTGGAGCCCTCACAGCTTGCAACTGGATTGTCTCTAGAGCTTCCTCTGTGCTGTAAGATGCTGCAACTGCCCCTTTCACAAGCAACAGGTACTTTCTCTGCCACCTGCTCCAGCTCCTCTTCTGGCTGCGAGGCCAGCCACGAGGATGACATTACTCAGATGGAGAAGTGATTGGACCTAATAAGGAAGGGAAACCAATATACACCAAATTAAATGCAAGAATTAGCTGGTAGCTACTTAAGTTCCCTGGGTTGGATTTTGAGGGTGTTTGATCAAGGAGGCTTCGCTGTAAAAGTAGACAGGCAGTTTTTATTGATATGGGGTACACTCTAGTCCAGGGAATCAGGCAATCTTGCTGCTATGGTGCCTAGGAAAGCGATGGCCAAAGTAAATAAAACAGCACATTTCGCCTAGCAGATGGCAGAGAAAATGAAGATATAGGCACACTGAAATGAAGGTACTCTGTCAAGCCAAAAACCAGAGTATTATTATCCATGGGAGCCCCCAGAGGAAGTGCCATCCACGGAGGTCATCAGAAACACAGAGAGTGAGGGAGCTGGCATCATCTGCAGGCTCAGTGCATCTGTCTTGCGCTGCCAGGGCAAATGTCACAGAGCTACCTCATTGAACAGGGAAGGTGGGGGCCGAGTAATAAAAGCGGGGTCCCAGTGCTTACTTGCTAGTAGCTAAAAGGCTGCAGTTACTATGATGGCCAGCAAGATCACAGAACAGCCAAGGGGTTTTGATGCAGAGGGTATTATGACGCTAACAGACAGAACATGGCGTCCATGAGGCAGATAGCTGGGGAACCAATAAAGATGCTGCTTAATATCAATAGTTACAAAGAGAGACAAATGGAGGTGCACTCCAAAAAAAGTCACGCTTTCTTGCTCTGCTCTGAGCCTATTTCAGATCAGAAGCCTAATGACTGTAGAAACAGCCAGATTTCTAAGAGGAAGGCCTTACGACTTAGTGGAGCAAGACCACCAGTCCCTCCACCAAGAAATTTTCAAGTACAGACCTGAATTAAATAGTAGTCTTAATTGTAGCCACTGTGCTGAATGAGATATCATACTTAGAGGTTAATAAAGTTTTGGTGTGGGGCCCTCCCAGGTGGTGCAGCAGATTAAAACATAGCACTAAGAAGCTAAAGCCACTTCAGCATGAGTTCGATTCCCACCCCGGAGGTGACCCACATGGCGTGGCAGACCTCTCCTGACCCACCCGCTGCTCCCCTCAGCAGTGTACTTCTTCAGTCGGCCTGTTCTGCTCCCCACTGTGTCTCTGGTGAGTCCTCTCACTGCCCCCACACCTCTGGCCTGCACCCCAGTTCTGTATGCATAAAAAAATTAAAAATAAACCCTTAGTGTGATTTTGGCTCAAGAACTGCTACTGATCTGGCCAAAGCTTTCTTAAAACTGTGCTGCTGCCAGTGGGTCTTCCTTAGCCAACCCCCTTCTTCCCCTCTGTCCTTCAGAGTGGTCAGACCTGCTTTGGCATATGTTATTCTCAGCCTACTTGCCCTCCATCCACTTTTTTCCTTTTGTGAAATGTCGGCAATCAATCTCTTACACGTCCAGTGCTGCCCAAGCGTCTGCTTTTCAGAGGACTTTAGCAAACAAGACATAAGCAGAAAATTATAAAGCCACGAGCATTGAGACAGGCTTTTTTGTGGCTCTTTCACCCTGCCACCATGTGGAAAAACATGCGCTAGCTTCCTGGACAGTGAGGCATGGGCCCGACCATACCCATAATGCCAGGTAACATCTAGCCACCTGTCAGACAAGTGAGGGAGGCCATGCAGCCCTAGTCCTAGACCACAGAGCCCCAGCTGCGCTGTTAGTCAATGCAGATGCATTAGAATCCAGTAGAAACCAGCCACGTCAGTCCAGACCAGGAAAACTGCCACCTGACAGGATTGGGAGAAATAGCTGCAGCTTTATGCTACTAAGTTCTAGGGCAGCTTTTTATGCACTACTTATAAAGAATATATATATAACACAACATATAAAGAATATGAAAAGTCTTTGGCAGATACTAAATATTACATGCATCATTATTGTCAGTCAGAGGACACTATGGAAACATTAGTATCAATTTTTTAAGAAGAAGGCTGACTCTCCCCTACCTTAACATTTGACAAAATCATTTCCACCACAATCTAATCCTTGCAGTTCCACAATTAAAATTCATTCAGTTTTGTTTGGAGGTTCCTCAAACTGCTAACATGGATCTTCCCTACAACCCAGCAATCCCACTCCTGGGTATCTACCCAAAAGACACAGAAACACTGATTCAAAAAGATAACTGCACCCCCATGTTTATTGCTGCTTTATTCACAATTGGAAAGACATGGAAACAGCCCAAATGCCCAAAAGTGGATGCCTGGATTAAAAAGATGTGGTACATATACACAATGGAATATTACTCAGCAACCAAAAAA